CCGCCCCTCCAGCACACCCAGCCGGGCAGGGACCCCTCACTCACCGCAGCAGGATGCAGGGATGACCCCGCAGCGGCTGCCCTGGGTTGACCCGTGTGATCAGCTGATAGCCCAGAGTGAGCTGAGGCCAGGGGCTGAGCTGGGCTGAGCTGGGACCTCGGGTCTGCACCAGACTCCTCCACCTGCCAGCTCTTCCCCACCTTCTAAAACAGGGCTCGAAAACTGGACAAGGTGTTAAAAGAAAGGACGAGAAGATGTGAGGAAGAGAAGAGGAACACTTCCTAACAAAACACTTAAAAGCTCTGTCTGTTCATGAGGAAGAGTACTGAGCAGTAAATAGACTGCAATATGTAAATATCCTCACAGGGAGAAAATATGCAGTACTAAAGGATTATTTAATCTTGCAGAGGAAAGAAAAAGTGGATAGAAGAAACCGAAAAATATCAAGTTAGGGAGTAAGGACACACTTCTGACAATGCTCATCTCTTCTAACAAACTATCAAGAAAAAACTATCATCATCTTTTCTATCACTTGATAACTTTGATTACAGCTGGGTACTTCTATGGGAGATGTATTTTAATCCAACAGATGCTGTTGGGATCACTGTGGAATTAACTGTGACACGGCAAAGAGATGAGCAGTCCAAGTGGATGATTTTTATGTTTTTTTAGGCTTCAATGTTATGCATATAAAAGTACCTAAACTGGCAAGAAGTACTTCCCAGCCAGGGGTCTGAGCCAGCGGTTATCCTCTGGCTGTGGCAGGACTGCAGAGCTGCTCCCTGCTACATTTGAAGGAATACATTTTTTTCTTCCTTTTGCTGCCCCCCAAATATCTCTGTTGAGTATGACATTGGAGTCAGCCCATTGAGTCTGAACAGGCACAATGTTCATTGCCTAGTGTGAGGCAAAACACTTAATCAAAGATTCTCCTGAGCATTTTCATTTGATTTTGTTTACAAATTAGGATTTCCACGTATTCCATGTAATGGGTTTATGTAGTCAGAGTATCTGCACCTTGTAAACATAATTTCCTGATTTGGCTGCTTCTTCAGTTGATTTGCTTGTTTTTGAAACATTCAGTTTTAACTTAGTGAGTAAACTGCCACCCCTTGCAGCCCGAGCAGTCCCAGGGACTGTGCTCTTGCAGATCTGGAGGATGCAGTGGCTTCCTCCAGGTCCTGTCCTGCTTTGTGGGCACTTAATGCCAACAAATGAGGGAAGATTTCTCCTTTCCTGAGCATCTCAGCGGTGGCTTCCAGAGGAGACCAACTACAGAACAAACCAGAAGGAATTTACTACTGTTTCTGCTTTCTTTTTGAAAGAAACCTTAAGGTAAAAGAGATGCAGATCTTATCAGGGTAAGCAGAGTGACAAGTCCAGGGACAACTTGTACCCTTTCACAGGAAAAAAGCTAACAAAGGCCTCATACTTCAGCTGCTGAACTCGAGGTGCGTTTGTTAAGTGGAAAACGTGGGCGTCAGTCCTGTGTCAGAGCTGGTTACTGCTGGCACGAAAAGGAAATCTCTCCCAGACCAACCCTTTCCTTTCCCTCTTCCTCCCCCAGTCCCCATTCCCCAAATCAGCGCAGAGCAGCCCAGAACATTTTTGTCACACTAACACTGACTGTCAAAGCTGCTCTGATCTGAAATAAAACAGTTCTGCAAGAGCAGAATTTTGACTTAAACCACTCAGAATGCTCTTGCAACAAATTTTCTGGTTTTGGATTCCACAGCGTTTGCTGTGCATGATGTACTGCAGCTAATGTAGCACAGCCTGACACGGGATCTCCTCCAAATCTCAGCATAGCTGTTCTTGAGTGGATGTGATGCTCTGGCAGCCCTGAGCATGCCAGTTTTGCCCGAAAGGTGCACACTTCAATAAACAATTGGATTCCTCTGTGTGCAGGAGCAGGAGGAGCTGTTACACGTTTCCCTTCCAGCAGTGGGGATGGTGCAGCCTCCACCAGCCCTTGCTGTTTCTGTGGGCATGAAATGCAGCTGAGAGGGGAGGTTGCACTCGTGCCCTGGCACGGGCAGGGTGAGGTGCACGCTCACCCAGGAGCTTTTGCACAGCCTCTCTCTTAAGCCTTCAAGTGGGAATGGAACACAGAGCAGGAACAGGCTGGCCCCCCAGGCTGAGGAGACTCAACCCTGCCACCACTCCACAGCAGGGCAAGCTGAGGATGAGCCACAAAGCCCTCCTGGGAGAGCAGGAGTTCAGGCCAGCTGCACTTAGAGCTTCCTGAAAAAGGTCCTCAGCATGTTTGGGCAGAGAGAAACCGAATCTTCTGCTGCTCCACTAGCCCCTGCCTGAGGAGAGAGGACACTGCTGTCACTCTGCCATCACCTGGACATGTATTCCAGGCTACTGCACAGCCTCCCCTCGTGAGCTCCTGTTTCTCCTGATGACATGGTGTGTCTTTGGTCTTTCCTTCCCTTGTTCTCCTGCCCAGTACCATGGTGAGGATCCCCTGACTGCAAATGACTCTTTGCCAAACGCACGTCCTCATCCTCCTTCAACTTCACCAGCTGCAGAATCTTGCTCTAGGTCCTGCACTGCCCCGTTTCACTATCACTTGGCCCCCTCAACATCTCCCTGTTCCTAGGGAAGAGCACGCTGGCTTCTGCTGCAGCTGGCCAAGCCTCTGTCCTAGTCATGGGCTTCAGGTCACATAGGAAAAGGCTTCTTCTCTTCCACCAAGCTGACTTTTATCATCCTTAAGTGGCATCACCTCGTGCCACTTTCACAGGTTGCTGTGCTGCAATGCCCAACAGTGCTGAGAAGGGCAGTGCCACCCTCAGCCACGGCTCCAGGGGTTTACAGCCATCTTCCAGGGCTAATCTCAAACAGAGTGCATCTTTTTGGGCTAGGCTGGCATCAGGTTTACTGACACTGCTGGCTAAAGGGTGCTTGGGCAGAAGGTAACACTGGCTTGCAGAAGAAGTGTCTTCTCCAGGTGTCAGTAATGTACCTGTGGGAGACAGACCAGACCTCAGACTGTGGACACCTCAGTTGGGAGGGACCAATCCAGGGCTGACCCAGTGAGCCCCGTGCTGGAGGGTGCTGTGCAAAGGCCTGTCCAGCACTGGCACCTCGGGCAGCAGCCACCTCCCCGGGAGCCTGGCCAGCCTCTGGCCTCTCAGCAAAGCAAATGCTTCCTGATGTCCAGCTCAGGTGCCTGCCAGACCTGGCTTCCTTGGTACCCATCCTACTGTGCCAGCTCAGGGCCTGCAGCTGGATCCCCGAGGGTCTTGGCGGGGACAGGACAGCAGCTGGGTCACAGAGGTCAGCACAGGGATCTGGGGCTCCCTGAGCACACAACGTTCAGGCCAGTGCTGGGGCCCAGCCTGAGCCTCACGAGCATCCCCTCGACTGCCCAGGTCCCAGCTGATGGGAACAGTATTGCAGGATGTCCGCATGCTGTTTAGACCTTCCATGGTGGTGTTTAAAGGCCAGAGAAGAGGGTTCCCTTTCAGCTGGCACTGGACAGGAACTAAAAGGTCCCTCTCCTACAGCACTGATGGTCCAGACACACAGTGAAATCTCAGGGCAGAAAAAGGAAGAGAAAACATCCAGTGCAAATACTGTGATTAGGTTACAAGGTCCTGTCAGTTCTGAGATGTTCTGTGGCTAACTGGGACTGAAGTTGTTTAGAGGGAGGAGAGACAAGCTGAAAGGAAAGAAAGGGAGACACAAGAGAAAAGGGAGGACAGAATATAAAGGACAAGTATGGCATGAAGAGGGCTGAGGTGAATGTTCCCTCACAGCTTTCCCCTGCCTGTGCCATCCCCACACATTTCTGTTACAGGGCTTAGGTAAGAGCTGTCAGACCCAGCACATTTTTGCCTGAATTATTCACAAATCTGTATGATCATACAGGAAGAAAAGTTGTTATTTGGATTAAACTAGATAATTTTCATTAACTTAACTGGCCTATAATTACTAGTTTCACCCAAGTAACTTACCTGAACACAGGTTCTGTAGGAACCATAATAGAGATCCATATTCCTTAAAAAAATGTCTGTGTGCACTGGCTGAAAGCACAACTTTCTCCCCTCACACACCAGCTAAGCCTCTTTCTTCTTCCTGTTTGTACACAGCTGACATTTCGTTTCATATTTCTGTGTTCCAGGTAGATGCCAGGAGACAAACAGGCCCTGAGGCAGAAGTGAGCAGCAGCCACGCAGAGGAGTTCCTTCGGAGCTAATGGCCCTCGACACTAATTGCTGTTTGTCTGGGCCCTGGGTGAAGCCCCTCTGCCAGGCAGAGCAACGCTCCCTGCAGCTCTGCAGTTGGCCACGAGTCCTGCTGCTGCTGCCCCACTTTACAGGGCCAGCTCTCCTGTGGATTTGGGCTGCTGCTGCTTCTTGCCCAGCTCTGTGCCGAGTGCTGTCCTGGGGCAGGTCTCTGAAGCAGAGCTCTGGGAGGACTGACTGATTCCTCCCATCCTCTCCTGGCTTGGTTCACACACACTTCAGCCTTCGCTGCCCTCACAGGGCTGCTGGTGCACTCTCTGTTTGACAGCAAACCCTGAATTCTCAGCTCTATAGATGTCCCTGCTTAAGGGACAGCACCACAGCGAGTTTCTCCTTTCCTTGGCTGGCCAAAGACCAGAAGTATTGGTGGGGGTTGGAGGAATAACTACCTGGATGCAGCACAGCTACTCTACACAACACTGAAAACGAGACATTTGAAGGTGTTTTTTTTTAACCTGGCTGCCTGTCTGAAAAAACAAGTGAAAATCTGAAAATCAGATGAAAAGAACCAAAATGAAGTCTGTTCAGCTGAGTGAAGGCCCATGCTAGCACTTCCTCTACCAATATTTTAAATTATTTCAATCTTAGCTAATGTTGCAAGCTGTTTTTTTGGTTCCTGATTAATTTAACCAAGTTATCTGCAATTAATAACTCAGGCAGGAGAAGCAGAAGTGCCAGGGAGACTCTTGCTGGACTGATAAAAGTTCAAAAACATCAGAAGAAAAACTTGTACACGCAATATGGTAGAAGCCATATTTATTGATAAAAATTAATATATCTGCTATAAAATTTGTAACAGTAATGCAACTGAATGTTTATTTTGATGCATAAACCTGAATGTTACATACCAAATACAATACAGTAACACTGGTTTCCTCCTTATTTACATGTTTATGAAAATTGATATGCAATCCATGTTAAAAGAACTCGTAATGGAGAATAGTTACATTAGAAAAATAATATTCTCAATAAAGCATTCTTGAGGACTCCAATCACATTTTCAGGCCTCTTTCAATAAGGCAAAAATCCCTGGTACAGCATATAACTTAATTTACAAAATACAATAACTTCAGACACATCTTCAAGTTTTCTTTTGGTATGCTTTCCCTCACTAACATCACTCAGGTTTCCGACCCAACGGAAAGAACTTTCAATAAAGGGACATTTTACTGAGCTCTGCTCCATGGGATGTTCTCCCCTACGCTGCAGCTCAGCCACCACTGCTGGGCCACCCTTCAGCAGCTCTTGGCTCAATGAGCTTTTCTCAGGTGTAGGACATGGAGTCCTCTGAAATCATGATGCCTGTGGTGCCTTTCTTCAGTTTTCATAGGAAACAGATCCCTCACGTTTGGAAACTTTGAAAAATTTTCTTTTATTTTATTTTAAGAACTGGTGCACAACTACATTTCCACTCACAAGAGAACGTCACAAATGTAACTAAAATTAGGCTTGGATAACTTTGAAAACGTACTACTATGTGCCCAAACCCAAATCCTTACTTTAATACTTCATAACCCTGCCATGCTCTAGGAATTCTTCTTCTTCTGCATAGCTTTGTTTCTTGTCACAGTCAGACAGTTTTAATTCCTTCAAAGGCACAAAACTTCCACCTCTTTTCCAGTGTTGCTCCTACACCAGTGAATTCTTGTTTAAACATGCGTGGCAGTCTCATCAAAAGCATTTCTATCTCGTTTGCAGAGATCTGAGAAAGAAATAAAGGTAAAATTAAAGTGAGAAAGCTGCCCTGTAGATTGGGAAGAGGAATTATGGAGCACAGAAGCTGGGGAGGGGGTGGTGGTGGGAATCCAGCCCAGGTGAAAACCAACAGCCATTACTATCGTTTTAAGCCGTAGCCTGACATGAATTTCTAGGCTCCAAAGCAAGCTCAGGATCCTTGCTGGAATGTCTCTGCTTTGGGAAGTGTATGAGACCAAGGTGTGGTGTGGAGTCCATCCAAACTGCAGCTGTGGGCACACCTGGGGGAAGGAGGAGGCAAATGGGACCCTTATCCTTCCTTCTCATCCCACGAGCTCTTGAATTCTCCTCCTAGCTCCACCAGTTTTTCTCTTACACAAAAACCAATAACACAGGGACTTTATTTCTAGCCAGCTCACTTCTGTTATTCAAGGCTGACTGCCCCTGAAGCCCTCTTCTCCCAGTTTGGCCCAGTTCAGCAGCAAAGTTCCTGACTGGGCATTGCTCAGGATGCTGTCATGGTTTTCAGACCTGGTGAGAGAGATGCTGTTGGTGCAGAGGACACTCCCAGAAGGGAAGCTTTCCAGGGCAATGGGTGGGGAAGTCAGGAGATGAACAGTCTTGGCAAATGAACCATTTTACCCTGCTGCTACTTCTTCTGAAGTGATGGTCATGAAAGGACCAGTAAAGAGCCCTGTGGGTGCTGCCTGCTCTCCACAGGTACCTCTGTGGTTTGATAGGCTCCTCTGGCAATGATGCTTCTGCTCATTCATATCCATAGGAACCCTCCACAGTGAAAAGTTTCCTTCTTAAAAGAGTATGTAAAAATAAATTATGTGAATGATACCTCATTCCACCCAAGAGACCTAAGGAAGTACCTAACACCTCCCATTTTCCTGAAGAGGCTATTGCAGAAGGAAGATGAAATGATTTGTTAAGGGGGTTGAGTGTTGGAGGCAGCCTCGAGCCCCAGAGCACTCAGCTCCACCTCTGCACAGGCCTGTGCCAGCAGCTGAGCTGGGCACCTCTGGGTGATGCATCTGAGCTCTGCTGAGCCCCCAGCCCGTGTCCTGGGCTGACCTTACCACTCCTGTGCAGGGGAGGAACACAGGCTGACCACGGGCAGCCCCTGGAATTCAGCTCTGAGCTTGCATCTCTGGGCTGTGCTGCTAACAAGTCATTTGTTGCTACAAGCAGCTTCTTCCAAAATAAACCAGCGAGGTCAAACTTGGCAGCTCATGTTCGTTGTGCAGCAGGCAGGTGCAGCTGTGGCTGCAGAGGTGGCACATTGGCACCTCGGGAGGTGGAGACAATGCTCCTCCCAGGAGGGCTGTGCTTGGGAGTCAAGGGTTTGGTCCTGGCAGCCTCCCAAAGCCAACACATCACTCACGAGAGTGGGAATCCAGGGGCAGAGCCCACAGGGACAAGAAGGGACCACAGCAGTGAAGGGCAGAAAGGCAGAGATCTCAGTGGGCAGGAGCAGTGAGCAGCAGGGCTGGGCACAGAGAGCTGGGGTCTTAAGTGACTGCTGGTGTCACTCAGGGGACACAGGGCTGGAGGGGCCAGCAGGGGAAAAGGCAGCTGAAACTCAGGCAAGTGCTGTGTGGTGCTGTGTGCTAAGGAAGGGCACTGGGCAGACTGGGCAGACTGGGCAGACTGGGTGCTGCAGGAGCTGAGGACAAGGTACAGGATCTGTACATGTGCCAGAGGCAGGGAACAGAGAAGCAGAGGAGGAATGGCTGCAGGTGTGAAGCTCTGGAGGTATCAGGTCTTGATAAATCAGATTATATTTTTTTTAATGAAATTTACCAGTTTCTCACCTCTTTCTACCATCTTCAGCCCTTATTCCCTTTTCATTGTGAGTAGCAGTGGGCTGTGAAGCACTAACAAACCTGACCTGTCATGAGCTGAAGATAGTGCCTAGGAACTTCATCCTTCCTCACCCACCCACGCAACCTGTCTTATCTCCAGTGGCCTTCCAGCTCAGGATCTTCCCTGCTTCTAGCTGCTGCTTCTTCACAGGAAGAGGCAGGATCCTCCAAAGGCAGGAAGCAGCTGGACAGTGACTGTTGGCTATGGGTGTCATGGCTGGAGGCAGTATTCAGGGACAAAGGATGGCTCAGGTCAGAGGGGTTGTGTCTAAGGAGCACCAGGGAAGGAATGCCAGGCACACTCTAGTCCAGGTGCACAGCACAGCCAGAGCCTGGCTCTGAGCTGTTCTGGGCAAGCCCCAGCACCCCTGTGTCCAGAGGAAGTGCTGGCAGATGTGGGTCAGAGCTGTGGCTAACCACAGGGTCACCCCTGCATCTTCTAAGAATCTCATGCAGTCTAGCACCCTCCAGAGCTGCTTTTTAGCACGTAGAGGAGCATTCAGCTGACCCAAGGTGGGTATTTCACAGCCGAGCTTCTCACCCTTGACTTGCTTAATACCCAGTGGACAGGAATAGGCCCTTCTGGGACCTGACTTCATTTCCTCCTGCAGTGCATATTTAAGAGTAAGTAACCACTCTGCACACTGCAGGTGTTGGCCTCACTCCTCTGCTGGGCACACCTCTGGATGTAGCCATGGGGTCAGCAGTCCTTGGTGAGCTCCCCTCTGCTCCCACGAGGGATGAGGGGCTGGATTCATGGTCCACTCATGTGCTCACCAGAGTTCATGTTCTGTGTGACCCATGGCTAACAGCTTCTAGAAGGACAAGGAATGACCTCCTAAACCTGCACACTTTGATGGCCGTGGCTTTGCCTGCCTCTTGTTCTGCTTTCTTTCTCCTCAGCTGTGTTTCAGGATCATGTATCACAGAACCAGCTCTCAGTCTTTGGTGCTTTCCTTGGCCACGCCGAGCAGCTGAGCAGCATGAAGCAAGGGCTCAGCACAAGCCTGTGCACTGTAATTTGCAAATGAATAAAGACTGCAAACCCCCAAGCCCCACATCCCATTATCTTTCTAACGGAAACACATGAAGAGTTTAACCTGCAGTAAAGAATAATACACTATTTCTATAGAGAAAACAGAGTTTCATTAAATTTTTTTACCCTGGAGTCCAACTGCTGCATATAAGACCACAGATATTCTATATTGGCTCCAAAAGGGTGGACGTGAAGAAATGTGGATATGATACCTGTATTAAAAACAAATTCACACAAAGCATTGAAATTACCTCAGACAATATGTCATTAAAATAAGCAAAATAATTCTGAGCAGTCTGTTCTTGCAGGTTTTTCGGCATTAATTATGATTCTTATTTTTCTTACACAACCCAATAAACATAAGAAACTGGCACATTTTTAATACAGTCATAATAACATGGTAAACACAAGAGCTCATCTCCAGGAATGACAGCAGTTAGCAAGTAAGTGACCAAGATAATACACTGATGAATAAAGGAATTTCTAAACAAAGACTTGCTGGAAGCATTTCAACTACCAATTTTATGCTTGATTTGCCAATATAAAATTGTGGATATTGTAATGGTAAAATTACTGCTTTTTTTCCCTTCACTAGATGCTCTGTTGTGAAAATGTTTCATAAATTTGTGTCAGAAACCTCACTCCCTCAGATTCTTCCAGTAATTACACTGATCCTGGCTATGAAAAGTGTTTAATCCATATTACCCCTCACTGCTGCTGAAGAAAACACAAATCCTATATGACATATTTACTTATTTGTTTTCTCTCAAAAGAGAGCCAGCTCTGCCTATCCATCTCCATTGGTACTCCCAGGATCACTGTAAAAGGTATGGGAATAAAAGTGGCTTAGGGGGAGTCAGGATCTAAGTCTGGAGATTTTTTCCTGCAGTGAAAACCAAGTGACAGCATAATAATGATGACCAGGGAAAACAAGATTTGGGGCATCAGAATTGCTATTAAAAGCAATCCAATTATCCAATTTCTCCTCTTCTGAACGAACAGTGGAAACACAAAGTGGCATGTGTGTCACTGTTTGGGGAGAGGTGGCCTGTGAGAATCAGAGCAAACACTTTCAGCTCTGTTTAGATGGGTTTCTTAGCTGATCCACCCTAGGGGAAGTTCCTTATACTTAAAGCATAAACACCAGGATTAAAAATGCTTTCAAATGACAAAAATGGGTCACTGTATCTTGTGTCCTGCAGGCCATGCTGCTTTCCTGAAGCTGAATGAATTAGGATAATCTTGGAATTAATTTTTCCCCAAATACTGGCCATGGTTGTAAATTATCAGTGGAATTTAACTCATTTCAGACTGGCTTTGCAAAGAACACCTTTTTTCCTCCCACATTTTTTCCAATACCATTTCCAAACTTCCAGTCTAGCAAAGAGAGGGTCTCTTTTTTTTTATACAGTATATTTATTCTATACAATGGCAAGTCCTAGAAGCAGCTGCCCTTTCTCTGTGCTCTGTGTGACCATGAGCACACACACAGGAGCTCCTGAAGCAAAAGCCAAGATCATCACACTTGGATGGGTTGGCTGGAAATCCAGTTTGTACCCAAATCCCATTTTAGCAGTGGCATTGCATTTGTTACATGTGCCCCCAGGGCTCTGCCACTCAGGATGTTCAAAGCTGGCTCTTTTATATAATGTAAATAAAAAGTAAATTAAAAATATTCTGTAGTTTTTGACTGGAGTGCCATGATAACTTTTTAAGTGGTTGGTTTTTTTTTTAAATTATTATTATTTATGCTCTTTTCCTCTAGGATAATATTGAATTTTGTAGAATACAGACAAACTTAGTGAATGTGTGGAGGCAAGGCCTGTTTTTCCCTTGCCACACCTGAACATGCCTCTGAGGAATAGATAACATGAAATCTATCTTGAGCAATCTTCTGCCCTTGACCCATATCAACGAGCCAGTTGTGGGGATGTTATGAGCAGTAGTGTCTGGACTGAGTTTTCACTGTTTATCTGCGTGCCACTGGCCAGCTGGGTGATGGTCCCTACTTTGGGACACTGTCACCATTTGTTACAGTCAAAAAATGAGTGACCTAGAAAGAAAAGTTTGTTATTCTGTTCTTAAAATCCCATCCTTGCTCCCCTTCTCTGAAGGAGTCTATGAGCAGATAAAATACTTTCCACTCCAAATTCTATTCTAACAAGCCAGATTAACCTAATTCATACATTTCAGTCCACCCTAGTGTCCCTCACCTCACCAGTCACAGGAGGTTTGTGTACTTTAAGCATGTAAATACATTCTTCACTTTCAGATGACCCTTCTGGCCTGGACTGTCTGAACCTGTGCCCCAGCAATAACCCAGAAACCTTCCTGGTGCTCAGCAGATGCAAATGAGTGGCATTTAAACCAATTAAGGTAGTTTTGTGCCTATCACCTACAGGAATACTGCTGATTGTGTGAGAAGACCAAGCCAAAGAGATGAAACCTGGTCTTGGTAGCTTGCTAATATTATTCCCATCCCCTTCTCCTTCAGCATTTTGCCTAATAATCAGATAACCAGTTAGTTATGCAAGTCTAACCTGCTGCCTCTGGATGTAAATAAACTCTTCACACACTGACACTGCAAGTCTCAAGGAAGATCCTGCAATTTTCTTCCCATCTGAAATCCTCTCATTAAACTCTGTGGAATTTGTCACAGTGGGGAAGTTCACCTGTGCTTTAGGATTTCTCTTACTAAACTCCATTATGAATACAGATGAAAAGTTAATTATTTTTTTAACTTTTATTAACACTAATATGCACATAAACACCTATGCAAAACAAAAAAAATTGTGAAAAGGCATTTTGTTCTCCAAAATCTTCTTTGGGGTTTATCTTACCTATTAATAGTGCCTCTTTCTCTGATTTTAGACCTGGGCTTCGTTTCTCTGAATTTTTTTCTCTGTCTTGGTTGACCAGTGCTACTGTCAATACATTGATTTCCTATAAAGTTAAAAGAAAACAAAACAGGTGGTGATGTAGATTTTATTTACTTCAGTTAAACCTGTCTGCTTCCTTGCAACTATATAAAAAGAACATTTATTCACATCTAAAGACCAGACAATTATAAATAATTTATTTGTTTTCAGGATATTAAAGACACTTTTTGAAGTGCCAAAAGCTGCAAAGAAGAGAAATTTTGCTTGTGGAGTAAGTAATAACTTTATTGCTAGTGCTTCTTCATGATAACAGCCTGAAAGATGTGCCACAAAGTGTGGGGATGGTCAGAAAACTCACACTCTGGAGCTATTAGAGCAGTAAACAGAGAGCACCTCTGGGGAACAGGGGAGGAAACATTCAGCAGAGCTCTGAGGGTAAATCCAGCAGAGCTCTGAGGGTAAATCCAGCAGAGCTCTGAGGGTAAATCCAGCAGTGCCCAGCAGTCTGTGGCTGCTGCAGCCCAGTCCTGTCCCTGCTGTGCCACTGCCTGGCACAGTGCTGGCCTCGGTCCCAGAGGACAACTTTTAGGGTCAGGCCATTTCAGGGACCATTCCTAACAGGTGAGTTGCATAAAGCTGCTTAGTTTTGAGAACTGAAAGGAGCCAACCTCAAGGGCTAACAAGCCAAGTGCTTTGAGCTCCTTTTTCTGCAAGCAGGGGCCCTGAACCACCCAGATCTCAGCCCAGCCATCCCATGCTCAGTGCCCCACCAGGCAGGCAGCTGTGTGACACAGATCACTCCTCTCCTGGGCATTTGGGAAGTAAACAAATTATCTCCATTGCATGGAAGTGGCCTCCAAGTGCACTGCACAAGACCCAAGCCTATCCACAGGCTGATTCCATGGAGCAACTGGTATCCAGTAACTCCTCTGGTGAGGCAGGGACTCACCCTGCTGGGTCTGCTCTGCAGTGCTCACGAGCTCACCCAAAACCCCAGGGCCAGGGGTGGAGCCAGGGTGGTGTGAGGTGGGACTGGGAAGGAGTGGTGCTCTTGGTCTCCTTGGGAGGGTCAGGGTAAGCACAGGGCTGGGCAGCCTGAGACACAAGGACATTCACCCTGTGTGGTGTGGTGATGTGGCCCATCTAGAACATGCACCCAGGCTGGCACCCTGCCCCTGAGCTCCTGGCAGGCATT